CCCCACCCCCAGTCCTAGACCCTCAGTCCTAGACCCACATATTGCCTAACCATATAATATGTGAGTGGAAGTATTGAGTAGCTTTTACTTGCATTTCTGACTATATTGAATTGAGTATAAATCCTGTTGTTTTTCTTACTGGTTATCTCTTTGAATTTTGACCAACGTCTGGATACTTGTAAAATTGGTCAGCATGCCAAGAGTGGGCCTGCTGCAGACTGGTACAGTGATGGCCATACATGTCCAAAGCAGCACAGGCAAGCAAAGCTGCCCTAGAAGCTTGCATGCTGAAGAGCTCTGGTGCAGAGATCGGGCTGTGGATGGACTTGTCCTGACTCTGGCTCTTGCCATATATTCAGAGGAGGGGTGAGCACCAGGATCAGAGGGTGCTTTTACTCTTCACAGTTGTGCCATGTGTTACACAGGCACAAACACAAGTTTGATTAAATTCATTGCTAAGGGAAGAATTATTCTTTTGAATTCTGCACGTTGCCAAATCTTAAAACTTAGAAGATTGCCCTATATGCCATATTACTTCACATTAATGCTATCCATCTTTTAACTCATTTACATCAGCATGCAATAAATAGTATTAACAGAACAAAATCATTTTCATTTCAGCCTGCCATGTTTAATTCTCATCTTTACAGCCCCTTGTTGTGGTCTCCATATTCTTACAGGTCATTGAGTCAAGGCAGTACAAACTCAAACATGCTAGATGTTCAGGGGGGTGCTCACAAAAAAAGAGCACGCCGTAGCTCTCTGCTTAACGCTAAGAAGCTATATGAGGACGCCCAGATGGCAAGGAAGGTGAAGCAGTATCTTTCCAGTCTGGATGTGGAGACAGATGAGGAGAAGTTCCAAATGATGTCATTGCAGTTGGAGCCTGCATATGGTACCTGTGAGTACAAGTTTTCTCTTATGTGCACTAATTGCACAATAAAATAAAAATTAGCTTCTCTAGAGCTGTGCTGAAGTACCAAGAAAATTAACTTTCACTCACAAAAGATTACTGACATAAGCCAAGCATCATGTTATCCTGTTAATCAGAGAATTCCATCCATTCCTGATTACCATAGGGAAGAGATAGAGGGGTAAGTAGCTCATCTTTTAAAAGCCTAAAAAGTCTTCTTGTAAAAACAGGAACATTATACTGAAGCCCTTCTGTTTCAGAACATTTTTACCTTCATCCCTAAATTCATAGTAAAAATAAATGGAATGTTTACCTTTTGAAAAATGTCATGGATGGTATTTACCAAATAGAAGATGCAATAAATTTAATTAAAACACAGTTAGAGATCATAGGTATATCATAGGTGTCAGTAAGTAAGGTAAAACAAGAAAAATCAGACACATTCTGATATTGTTAGTATATAAAATATATAATGGGCAAAAGAGAGCCTGTTCTCAAAAATTTTTTTTAAATATATTTTATTGATTTTTTACAGAGAGGAAGGGAGAGAGATAGAGAGTCAGAAACATCAATGAGAGAGAAACATTGATCAGCCACCTCCTGCACATCCCCCACCGGGGATGTGCCCGCAACCCAGGTACATGCCCTTGACCGGAATCGAACCTGGGACCCATCACTTCGCAGGCTGGCGCTCTATCCACTGAGCCAAACCGGTTTCGGCCTGTTCTCAAAATTAGAAATTTTTTTTTCAAGTACAAAATAATGCAGGTGTGTCTGGGTCAAGGAAATTATGAGTTGTAAAAACAGAAATCAGAGATGATACAATATACTGTGTTTGTTGTAAACAAAATAAAGATGACTTTAAATTATAAGTGAACTAGAGGCCTGGCGCACGAAATCGTGCATGGGTATGGTCCCTAGGCCCAGCCTGCGATCAGGGCCATCTTCCCCAGCTGCCGGCAGCTGGCCCCGCCCCCCACTGCCACCCACTCCGGTTTGCCATCCGGTGATGGGAGCCTGACAGCCAGGGGAAGGACCCCAGCCGTTCCGCCTGCTCACCAGCCCTGCTCCTGCCGCAGGTCACCCTCTGTGTGAGCTGACCGGTGGGACGGGGGCCTTAACCTGGCGCCGCGTGCACCCTCCACCACCTACCCCAGTTCCCCATTTGCCATCAGTGAGTGGAGCCTACAGGCCAGAGGGAGGGACCAAGAGGTCAGCCTGTTCTGCCTACTCGCTAGTCCCGCCCCCCTCTGCCACCCACCCCAGTCCCCAGTTCACCATCAATGATCAGAGACTGCCGGCCGGGGAAAGGGACCAAGGGGTGATCAATGCACCTCATAGTGACTGGCCGAATGGTCGTTCTGGTCGTTCTGCTGTTATGGTTGCTGGGCTTTTATTATATAGGATGGTGTGTGTGGGTATGTGTATACCAATAAGAAGCATAGAATGTAATAAATGTTGACAGAAAATTGGAGGGGGAACGTTCAGATTTCTATTTCTGTGTTTCTAATGGAGGGAAATAGAAACCATCATAGGTTGACCCTAAGATTGATAAATGGAATGGTATTTGCATAGTAATAAAAGAAAATATATCAACAGGAAAAAAAGAGAAAGTGAAAATACAACCAAATATTGATTTTAAAATTTCAGATATAACAATGACTTTTAAAACATAGGGTAACATTCAGTAAATGTTGTTCTAAAATTAATATGTTGAACATTTCTAATAGGAAAAGGAAAGGAGTATGAAGGAAAGATCACCTATGAAGGATGAAGACATAGTTTGAGTCTCATTTATTACTATTTAAGCAAGGTGCTCTTCATTAAGCAAGGGTTTAGAGCAGCCGTGGGCAAACTACGGCCCGCGGGCGGGCCAGATCCAGCCCGTTTGAAATGAATAAAACTAAAAAAAAAAAAGACCATACCCTTTTATCTAATGTTCCCAGGTGATTCTAATGCGCAGCCAAGGTTGAGAACCACTGGTTTAGAGTATGTTTTATTGCTGTGATTCTTTCTACATCAAACCTATTAAAGCCGGCTTGGTGTGACCCCTGCGCTGCTGTCTGCATGGGCTTAGTGTCTTCCTCTGCTATTTGTTCAAAGAAACCTGAGACAGGATCTGTCCCACAAATATATATATATATATACACACACACACACATACATACAAACTATAGATAAGATTTTAAAGTGATGTTGAGGTGGAGCTAATGAAGTTAATGGATTCAAAAAGTATTTAGGAAGTAAAATTAACTATAATTCTACAAAAATTTTAGAAATAATATACTTATGTGAAGGTATTTTCAGGAAAATTAATCTATTTTTTGTGTTGAAAAGGTGGTTTTAAAGCAGCCATTTATTGTCAGTGGTAATAACCTTGCCTAAAAGTGCAGAATGATGTGTTTCTTACTCTCTTCTTTTAGTGACCAAGAATTTAACTGAAAAAAGATTAGCCAAATCATCAGAAATGTCTCCAGTGCCTCTGAGGTCAGCTGGCCAAACAGCTAAAGCCCATCTACATCAGCCCCACAGAGTAAGCCAGGTGCTTCAAGTGCCAGCTGTTAATTTGCACCCCACCAGGAAGAAGGGGCAATCAAGAGACCCTGTCACATTGAGTGAGTATTCACAATTAATATCACATTCATGTAATTAAAATTCCCAGGGGAGTTGGAATGAAAAATAATTACTAATGTAAGTGCTCAGGAAATCAGCTATAGTATTTTGTGTAATGTAATCATCACTCATGAATTTTAAAATGTTTCATTTTGCCTGTAGGTATTTGATGACAGCATACATATTTTAAATGCTAACATTGGGATTCCCATAATCATATCAACCAAAAACCTAACAGCAATACACTTGGGTACTACAGTCAAAGGTGCATTTAATCAGTTACATAATGCAAATTAATGCAACCTATAAGAATGAAGTTGCTTATTCTAAAAGTGACTGTATGTTGGTTTTTCATTAAAGACTACTTCTGAAAACCCTGGTTAGAAGACAAGAGCATGTAAAGTACATATAATATAAGCCATACTTTTTTCCCCTCTGTTAAGCCATTTAGACATTATCAAAATTACTTTTATTTGTGGTTTTGACAATATCATTATTTTAGCTTTTATAGATGGGAAGCCCAATTAGATTTAGTTCCTAATATTATTACTTAGTCAATGCATTATACACAGGACATATTTAGTAGAACTTGTGAAATGTAAACTTAATTTGGTTTTGTTTTGCGATCCAAAGTTGAAAAGAAATGTGTCTACTTTTGCCAGATGGTGACATAGACACACAAACAGATAGAATGAGTTAGCTCTTATGCTAGGGGTCTGTCCAGAACCTATAAAACAACAGAAGAGGGAGAGCTTTGAGGGCAGACAGAGATAAGGTAGAGTTTCAAAGAAGGCTTTTTGGAGATAACACCTAAGCAAAGCCTTAAAGGTTGATCAGGAAAGAGGTAATTAGGCAAAGATTCCAGAGAAGTTGCTTCAGGCAGAGGAAAACCTTGGTATCTCCAAGGAGCTAAGGCAGCTGCCTCTGGGTACTAAGCTGTAGAAAGAGAGAAAAAAAAGTTACCACAGGTAAATTAAGCTGACACTCAGAGAGCACTTACTGAGGGTCAGACACAGTTCTAAGCACTTTGCTAACTTTATATATTATATGCATTTAATCTTTATAAGAACACTATGATAGGAACTACTCTCACTCAACAGGGGAAGCCATAGAGGGTCTAAGTAACTTACACATTACCAGTAAATATTGGGGCTGGGAGTTGAGCCCAGGCTAATTGGCTCAGAGTCCTTGCTTGTTAACCACTGTGCTAAACAGCCACCAAGGATGAAGAGAAGTGAAGTCATAAGCATGCTGAAATTATAAAATGGCATGCTAAAGGGAAGTTGCCAGTGGGCAGTTGTCGAAGAGATTTGAGCAAGGGAAGGTCCAGTTCATGTTGGAGAACAAGAGTAGGGGTTGCAGTAAGACTCGAGATTGAGGCCTGAATGGAAAACTGGTGAACAATTAACTGGAAGTTGCTCAGAGCCTGAACTAGTTTGGAGGATATGAAAATGAAGAGAGAATTGGATGCAAAATTGAAGTTGATAGATTTGTTTGTAGGAGTAAGAAATGGGATAGGTCTGGCTCTGGTTTCTTACTTAGATGTCATCACCTGAGATGCATTATTACAGGTACCAGGTAGTCCCTTTCCCTCTTGTTGTAATATGGCCATTATCTATATAATAAATGCATTTATATTAAAACTGGGGGCCTGGTGCACAAATTTGTGCATGGGTGGGGTTCGGCCGGCCCACCCCAATCAGGGCCAATCGGGCTGGCAGGGGGGAGGGACTGCAGGCAGTTGGTGGTCTGGCCCCGCCCCCTGGTCGAACTCTGATCCAGGGGACAATTTGCATATTAGCCTTTTATTATATAGGATGGCATTATTAAGTAAAAGCAGTGCAAGTTTGCTGTAATTTGAATTGTTTCAGTGTTATAGGGCTGCTTGTTACTGCGGAATCCTTGTCAAAGTTGGGCTTAACTTTACTGGTTGAGTACAGTGTCAGTAGCTCTTTGACATTTCTTAGAGATGAATGCAAAAATGTGAATATAAGGAAACCGTTGCTAAGTTTGATCTATACTAAACAGGACCAGCTGCTGGGACAAGAATAATGATAGAACTTTGCAGGAATGTTTCCAGTGGGCTCTATACTATTCTTCTATAAATTCATGATTCTTTCTGTTGTCTACTTCTCTCCTGTAGTGTGAATTTAGTGCTCTTGAAAAGGGCTGGACTGGCAGCCCTGCAGCCTCTTCTGTTTTCCCACAGCACAGATGCACCACAGGTAGTCACAGTGCCAACATCCCTACACTGCTCCTGTCACATGCCTCGCCCTGACTTGGAGAGGCCACCTCTAGAGGGGAGGGAAGAGTTTGAATCCATGCCTTCTCTACTAAGACTTCCAACAAGTGTGTCAATTGTGGGAGTTGGGACTTAGACTGTGAAATCAGTTTCCCTTATGTCACAAAACAAACAAAAAAGAATTATTATAATCTGGTCTGTGCTGAACTGGCTGAATTTGAACAAATAACCTAGAGGTGAGAATCTCTGTATTCCATTACCCAGTCATTTAGTCCCCGTTTGTCATTTACACATTTCAGTTGAATACACTAGCCATTGTGCATCATGGCTTTAGTTATGTAGTAATTTAGGCAACTACCGACATTTTAATTGTGAAATGATGCTTATTTTTTGGGCTTTATTTTTAGGCACAAGTTCACCTCAGAAAGTTTTAGGAACAACTGAAGAAATGAGTGGTAAGAAACATTCGGAAGACACTGTTTCCATGACATCGTCCTTACATTCCAGTCCTCCTGGATCTCCTCAAGGTTCCCCACGCAAAGGTAAGACAGGCAGAACAGTTCAAGCTAGTTCTTACTTTACCAAACAATACCTTGTAATATATTTTGTTTTTCGATCTGTCTTAATAACAAAATATAAAGGAAAGCGTAACTTCTGTTTCCTTTTGAACTTTCATGTTTTGGATTGAATTGTTCATATACTTTCCAGGTATTAGGTAGGACTCCTGTAAGAATTCACAGTTGTTTTGTTCTGTGCAGACTCTTGGTGCTGCTATTCAAATTTCCCATTATTTAAAATTTCTGTGGAGTATTTGAAAGTAAGAATTTCTACAAGAAATTGTTTTTAACCAACAACAAGATTTGGGAAAAGAAACTGCTGGGACTGACCAGCAGACCCTGAATGACAGATGAATGATTACTCTGACGCATGTTTCTGTGAAAGAGAGGGCTAAGGAGCAAATAGCCCTGTTCGCCTGCCTCCTTAGGCTTTTACTGTAACAACAGTTTGAACTAAAATTAACCTCTAGATCAGTGGTTCTCAACCTTCCTAATGCCGCGACCCTTTAATACAGTTCCTCATGTTGTGGTGACTGCCAACCATAACATTATTTTTGTTGCTACTTCATAACTGTAATTTTGCTACTGTTATGAATCGTGATGTAAATATCTGATATGCAGGATGTATTTTCATTGTTACAAATTGAACATAATTAAAGCATAGCGATTAATCACAAAAACAATACGTAATTATATATGTAATTTCCGTTGGTCTTAGGCGACCCCTGTGAAAGGGTCATTCGACCCCTAGAGGGGTCGCGACCCACAGGTTGAGAACCACTGCTCTAGATACTATCAGCAGGGAAAGCATCCTTGAGAAAACACCTGCATCTGTAGTGTTTTTCAAACAAGGACATTTTAAAGTCTAAACATAAACATAAAGATTCTAGTAAAACACCCGGTGGCTCAGACTTGTTTGGAAAAGTCTAGGCAGGATCCCCAGAGGCCTCTGACCTTTCAGAGAATCCTCCTTACAGACTTTCCAACCAAGTCCCATGTTTTCCCACAAGAAACAAATATTTAGGTTGATGCATGCCTTTCTTTAGTAATGGACTAATCCTTTTTATTAATCAGGATTTAAAATAACCAATACCCTTATGGATTTTTACATTTATATTTATATAGGACCTCTTGAGGTAAAAAATCTGAAATCACTTTTGTTCATTTGCATGTTTTCATAATTCAGACTAAGCTGCTCTTGACTCACCTGGGCAGTGTGCCTGGAGATGCCATTATGTTAGCATGTAGCATTCTAAATGGTGTGCATATATTTTACATTGGTCCACCCACACTCTGTGTGTACCCTGTGGGAAAAGGCTCCTTAGTCCTGGCATTGTCTTCACTGATGTAAAAGAATTACATCTTGAAATAATCACAGTGCAGGGTAGTACATGATCAGGGAAGACAAGCTTATGAATTCTAGCAGGAAGAAAAGTTTCCAGAGCTTTCTTCAGCTCCTGTGTCCTAAGATTCATCTCACTTTTAGAGGCCTTTTCTTAGTTTTGCTTTCTCGGTGGCAGCAGTGTGATACAGTGATATCAGACCTGATTTGGATCCTGATTCTGTCCCCTCCTATTGCTGTGTCACAAGCAACTGATTTATAAGGCCAGGTTTCCTATCTGTAAAATGGGGGAAACCACCTATTTTAGGGAACTTATATGAGAATTAAATGAAATAACATATATAAAGGCTGATACATGGTAAGTGTTCAGAAAATTGGTGTATCTTTTCTCTTT